TGGGAGCTACGGCTGCAACAACCGTCTGGCCCTGCTGCTGACCATGTATCTCGGAAGGAGTCAGTTCACCCAGTTTTCTGCAGCTTCACCCTGAAACAGCAGGTCCTGAGCAGAAATGGGGAGGACAGGAGCGTCGGCCTCCGCTGCTGGGGTAACGGAGCAGCGACAAGTGCTGCCAGAGCAGGGCAGGTCCTTGGAAAGAGCACACTGAGATTCTGTACAGCCCCTTCCTGAGAAAACTGCTAGCAAAGCAAACAGTGTGGTTTCTGAGAAGCAAAAGAAGAGCAGGGAAAAGACTACAGTACTTCTTTATTTAAGAGAATTTAGATTTTTATCTCTGAGTTTAGGTGCGTTAACACAGGGTACTCTGCAATATAAGCCCTTCGTTTCTGCAAATGTGGCTGCTTTTCTCAGAGTGATTCACTTCGTTGTTAATATAAAAATGTAAAAAGAGTGTTCCTTCTTAAATAATTGACTCAGCTGGTAATGTATTTATTTATAATATTTATGAGCTTTCAAAAAAACATTTAAAATCCACAGATGTAAGTGTTCTTACATGTTGGTCGATCGTGCTATATCTGCAGGAAGATTCAAGGATCAGACAGACTGGTAGAGGTTCTAGATACTCCGTAGAAGGCAATGACACATTTTAATGACTAAACTGCTATTTAATTAGTCTGAAGTTTCCTCTTTGGATTTCTGTGGGTTTTTTTCCTTGAATAAGAATAGAGGTGGATTGGGTGGGGTTTTGTTTGGTTGGTTGGTTTTTGTTTTTTAAGGAATAGGTCTTTTTTGTGGCCAAAATTAGCTTCCGTTGTCTTTGTTCATTGTCACATGGTATCTTGTGAGCTGGTTGCTTTCCCGGCTGATGGCCTGTGGAGCTGATTGCAGTTCTGAAGTGCAGAGTGTAGCTTTTCAGTGTGATGTTAATACAGAAGTGTGGAGAATAAGAATTAAATTAATTTGTGGTAAGGACTTTTAAAAAAACAACAAGCAATTTCTTCATCTACAGTAGTCTCTGTGATATTTGGAATGGATTTTTTTTTTTAAATTACAAGGGGATTTTTATAGAAGTGTAGTTAAGAGCTTTATTTACCCCTAATTGCTATTGCAAATCTATTAAGTGTGGCTAGATGCTGCTGTCAGAGAAGGGAGCCGTAAACCAGTTGAAGAACCCCAAAACCTCAGGCCAGGTCAGGCAGCAGTGCTTGAGACCAAGCCTCATATCCTCCATCTTCTGAAAACAAAATTGGATTGAGGTTTCCCATGTGAAATCCTTTCCCATTTGCATCTAATGAACTTTTTCTCCTCTTGCTTTCTTCAAGTCACGCCTCGAGTGCCGGTTCCTGTAGAGGCAGGAGATAGTGCTATGTACACACCTCTCCTAATGCACAGCGAGCAGGTGGATGTCCTGGAGCGCCTTGACGTGGTGTTGAGAAACATTTCAGAGCTAAGAAAAGAAGTGGAGGAGCTACGAAACAGCCTGCAGCGCTTGGCTGCAGAAATCATTGGTGAAGTCAGGTATCGACCCTGCCCCTTTCTCTTTTTTCCTACTGTTGCACACAATTCCTCCGTAGCATGGTGAAACTGCCATGACAGAGTATGTTAAATTTAAATCCAAAAGTGGAAAAAGTGTCTATTTCTTTTCCACTGGCATTATGTCTTGACCTCCAGTGAGATGAATGTAAAAAACCTGTATGTTTAGCCAGGGTTGTTTTTTTTTTCTTATGGAGTATTAAGTAGTGACGCTTGGTTCATATTCTAGCCTGGGAAGGTTATTTGTTCTGTAAATGTTTTTTTTAACCTTTTGTTACTGCTATTTTCTCTCTGCTGCCAACCGTAGGCAACTTTTGATACAGAATAAAAAGTCCTCTGCTCTGCAAGATGTTTCAGGATACCATGGACTTTGTTTGTTGAGGAAATCAGAGGAATGCATGTGATGTGATTACCCCTTTGTGTATGGATGGCATATATGGATTGTATATAGACCAAGTCCGTGGTCAGACTTGCTTTAACTGTAGAATATGATGTTTTGTGTATGGCAGCGAGATGTTTGTATAAGGAAGAGTAAGTCACCTTGTGAGTTCTTTGGATATAAAGTAAATTGGGTAGAATCTGCTAGAGAGGAGAAAGGAAGCAAAATAACAGACATTTTGGTATCAAGTGTTTATTTGTTTCTCTTTTTGCCTTCCTCAAAGGTCCCATCTGGAAGAAACCCAGAAAGTAACTCGCCGGAGGCGGTTCCCATTTCCTAGAGAAAGAAGTGATTCCACAGGCTCCAGTTCAATTTATTTCACGGCCAGCTCAGGAACAGCCAATACGGATGATGGAGAAAGTGAAGGAGGGTAAGCAGAGCACTGGGTTAGAAGCAGCTTTTATGGGCTTTGGTGCCCAATTACTGGAGCAGTTTATAACATAAAGGAAGGGATTTTTTTTCCCCACTAGGTGTCCTGTGGTTTTATTTGCTTTTATTACAGTAAGTCTACTACTGCCTGGGCCAGATTGAGAGAAGTGCGATGATTCTGACTTTCGGAGAAATGGGGGAAAGAAAAAAAAAAAAAAAAAGATGTGTATAGTTATTGAGGATTTTTTAAAGCAGTGATTTGATTAGGGAACCTTGCAGGAAGAACGGAAGTAGAAGTCCAGCCTGGGACTTAAATGAGAGAGTTTATAAATAAAATTTCCATCCAATAATATAATCTTAGAATGTCTGGAAAGCTTCAGAAAGTTAAAAATATATTCCAATTAACTAAAATGTCTTCGGCTAGGGTATTTCTTACAGATTTTTCTCAGTGTGCGATCGGTTGTGTTGCTTAAGTTCTTGTAGTTTAAAAACAGGTGAAAAATACCATGTAGTTTAAGAACATTGGTAAAAATTATAATAGAGATGCAAATATTGTCAGATAACAAGAGGTCTACTGCATACATGTATGTGACTGCTGCTTTTCTGGTGAAATGCTTCTGTGCCTTAATCAGATGAATTCTGTAGCTTTTGAGGTACGTGTGTTCTAAAACATGCAGCACTGGCTGTGTACGTTTTCCAAGGGAAGCTGAAATGAAGAGAGAAGTTTGGACTTGATGGTCTTTTCCAAGCCAAATGATTCTACGATTCCAAGTTAATCGTAGCACTGAGAGCAAGGCAGGCAGAATTTGGACATGACATGCTGTTTGTGGCAGCTAAATGACCAGTAAGTTGGTGCAAAGTGACACTTGGTAGCATGGGATTGTAATCGGGGGACCAAGCAGCCATTTTGGAAGCAGCCTCCTCGAACAAAGGACACGGATCTGCAGGAAAGCAAGCTTTGTGACGGCCATAAAAATGTGTCGTTTTAGTATTTTTATCTCTAGTAGCTGGAATTGGTGAAGCAGGAAAGAGCTGATGTGACCTCATTCAGGTTAGAGAACCACTTCATTCATCTGAAGCAGGTGTTCGTATGAAAGCAAAATTAGGGAGTAGGTGATTCACGATGGTGTAATAGGTAACAAGGCTGCATTCAAATTTTAAAACTATGTAGTTGGTTCTAAAGACAAGACCTTGCTATCTAGATAATAGCAGATGCACCGAGTCATCAGGGTGCCAATGTATTTTGTAAAGCATGCTGAAACGGGTGGTCTTTTTCAACAGATACCAGCCCTAGCTGTTGTTGGATCATTAGAAAATTTTGTGGCGATAGAGCCCGACAGTAATGCTCAGGTTCAGAGAACACATCCCCCTCAGAGGACCTCCAGTGATCGGTGGAGCAGGGATATATGTTACTGCACAACCTCATTACTTCATTGGGAACCTAGTCGTGGTTGGAGGAGTTCTTACATTTTATTTAAAAGCTGTAGTTGGGTTTAATGACCAGTGTGGAGAATTAGTGGGTAAGCATCTCTACTTTGATTTAAAAAAAAATTCAAATAGTATATAATTTCTCACTCTGGTGTTTGTCCTGTACCAATAGGTATAATATGAGTCTGTTCAGGACCAGCTGCCTTTTTGTATGCAGTGTTGTCTTTTAGAGATGTAAATACTAAAGTTTTCTAGTAGAAAATCAGTGTAGGAAATGTAAATTTTGGAGAAGACTATTTAAGCTTTTTAGCAGACACTGGGAGGAAGAATAAGACTATTCTCAAGTGATAAATTTCAGCTGTGTATTCATTTCTGGCAATTGTATTATTTTAATGAAATTCAGGAAGAAGAACTCGTATTTCAGCCTTATTTTGTAAGCCACATAGACACAAGCACCTCCTCCGATTTCATATACAATTCACAAAAATCATCATGAGCTTTCAGGAGCCCACAGGTCTTGGGCTGCTTAATTTCTCTATATTGCATTGGCACTGCGTTGGTCTTTTGGCCTTCTTTGCCTCCTCTTGCCATGTGCTTTTTTGTTCCAGATAGTATGTTTTCATTTTCGTTCAGGATGTGCGCTAGCCAGAGGCCTCAACATACTGAAGCATTTAAGAACTTTCCATCATCATAAACTTGAGAAAACAGGCTGATAACATCTAAATCCCTCAATCTTTCTGAAAACTCTGAGTTTATGAAGTTATATACAGTATTACTTGTCTCTTTAAACTGGCAGCATCTTGTATGAGCTGTCTTGGAGAAAACATGTCTTTGTGGTGGAGAAAAAAAAGTATGTAGGAGCCATCCATTGCTGTTTGTTTTTAAAGACCATATCGTATTTCAGGAGCCTTCAATGTGGAAAGTGTTTTTCAGCTGAAGTACTGGAATCTTTGCAGCTGCCAGTAAAATGGTGTAGTGAGATGGTGTCACGACTGCGTAGCCCACAAATGTGCTGGATAGTAGGTTAGGATGGGGAATAAGAGAGTTTGAGGAGTTTGTGCGTAAGTACCAAACATGAGGTGTGGAGTACCATTATTCTTGAGAAATTATCAAGAAATGAGGCTTTTAATCTGAAACAGAGCTGTGTCAGTGTCACTCACCACCGTGTTGCTATGTTATCTATTAATTTAGTGCTGCCTACGTAATCTCCAGGGTGTTGTCTTGTAGTGCTTGGTTTCCTGGCTTTGAAGTGATAAGGCTGACTCTTACTTTATTTCTTGTCTTAAAACGTGTCGGTACAAAGTGGTGCGTTTTTTAAATTAATGGATGAGGGCTGGAGGCTGTGGTGAGTGAGGGTGTTTGTTTACCCTCTAGCAGAGAGGGAAATGCTTGAGCATTGTTGATGGTTCTCAGCAAATTGAAGCTTCGATAGCCAAATGTGTCTTGTTATCTGTGTGGCCAAATTACTGTAACTGCTTTCTTCAGATACAGGCTTTGGTCGCATATCTTTTTCTCCAGACAAAGGCAGCTTCACACACGGAGCAGTGAAGCTCTCCCTCGGAGGGGAAATTCAGCCAGGACAAAAGGCAATGCAGCTGTAGTTACTGAATGCCCCCAGACTGCAATGACTTTTAATTCTAGCAGAACTTGTTAAGTTCAACACATGGCTTGGGCACAGTTTAATTGGGTAACAATTACAAACATCCCCTAGAATTAAGTGTTTATATTACTTGAAGTAGCTTGCTTTAGGAAGAGAGCTTATTCAGATAAACCAAGAAAATCCAGATATAAAAGTGCACATTCTTAAATTACTGGCTGACTTGCGCTTACTCTTCATCTAAGAGCTTGCAGATAAATGTGAGGAGGACAAATAGAGAATCTTCTTCAAAACAGAAATTAGTTCTGTAAGTAGACAGCCTGCTGCAATGGTTTCAGTCAATATATAATGCTGTTTTAAATTGCCAGTTTAGGTGCCTGTATATGATTTGGGGGAGCTGAGTTTTAGCCATTTTCAGAAACTTTGATCTGAGCTTTTTCCTGGTTCATTTGACTAATTCTGCAGCTAATCATTGCCTGTGTTTTTGTACATGTGCTGTCTTTTTGTGGCTCGTCTGCTGTCTCCTTGCTGGACTTCTTGCTCGTGTGAAATAGTTTTGATTGCTCTCCTACTGTTTTGCACCTTTTCACGTGTCAGTGTGAACGAGCTGTTTTGTATTTAGCACTCAGACAAGATGATGGAGGTACTAGATATTGCCAAAACAGCTATTGTGTCTGAAATTTCCTGGAACAGGCTAAAAACCTCAGGTTATATTTTCCACATGGACGAGTATGTCAGATTTTTGGTTGAAATTCTCTTTTATAATCCATACGTTTAACAGAATTGTCCTGGCTCTGTTCTTAGTTGTTGAATTCTCTTACATTGAAGTTAGAAGGCCTAAGAGAAGCTGGTATGGTACGCCAGTGAGATGTGGACACCTGTGACTGAATTCTGTGTGACTTTCGGGGGCCTTCTTTCTTCAGCTTTTTGAGGTTGTGTATATTACATGAGGAACAATGATTGGTGTGTTATTTGAGACACTTGCATTGTACAGCATTCTCCAGCATAAGCTAACATACTCCTCTTCCTCTGTGAGGAAGAGTTGTTCTTTCTATACCATGTGTATAAAACAGTCATAGGCTGCACAGCATCTCCTCAAACTAATTTTGTGTTGCGTGTGGTTTTTTTCCTCAAAGGTACACCACAGCCAACGCTGAGTCTGATTACGACCGGGAGTCCGAGAGAGAGAGTGAAGAAGGGGAAGATGAAGTGAGCTGTGAAACAGTGAGAACTGCGCGACGGGATTCCCTGGATCTCGTCAGCGAGGATGATGCCCATTTAATCTTAGATTCCTCGCTAGAGGAAGGACTGGGTCAGCTACTGCAGCAGGCTGACCGCTTGCACAGCGGAGACGAGCAGGAGAAGAGAGAGGGATTCCAGCTGCTGCTGAATAATAAACTGGCGGTAAAGGTTGCCTTTTTATATTTTCCAGCAGTGATTTGTGTTTTCAGCTAAATGGCTGGGAAAGAGGAAATTGCATGTCTTAGCAGGGTCCAGGTCCCACGCAACAACTGGGCCAGCTTCCAGTGGCCCCCTTCCTCAGGAGCAGCTTGGGAGCGGGCTGAAGGCCAAAACTCTTCAGGCTGCAGCAGCAGCCAGTTCCCAGTCGCTTTCTGTCGTGGAACTCTGTGTCTCATCATGTCATCACTTTCCCTGAGTGAACACACCGTACATGTGTAAAGTAGCAGTACTGTGTCTATACAGTAAACTCAGCAAACGTTTTGAGAACATTTACCTCGTTGCATGTGCAATGGGTCCATCTGTATTCAGGACACTTGGTCTTTCCGAGAACTGCCCAGTGCACGTGTGTGGTGGTTCATGAAATAACTAAGTTACATATTCAAACAGAAGGGTTAGGTAACACTTACGTGTATATTAGTTAATGAGAAAAAAAACCTGGATGGTGCAGGTCTTTTGCCACCTTAAAGAATGTGTCTTTTTTATGTCCTGTAGGTGATGTGAATTGATCCCCTGCTTCAGTGAACACTGGAGCTGCCCGTGAGGTGTGGGGACGCAGCAAGGGGCAGCGATAGTTTTGCCCTAGCTGTTGCAGATAGCTAGCTTACACCGCAATGTGTCTTGCTGCAGCTGTTGTAGGCCTGCCTGTGCCTGCTGCAGTTGCACTGTCAGCCTCTGTTAGTGTTTACCGAAGTACTGCACAGCCAGCAAAGAAGTTACTAGCCTTACTCAGTTACTAACTGAGTAAACTGAGCCTCTTGGGTTACTAGCCTTTTAAAAAGCAAGACGTGCTTGGCTCCTGTATTTCCAGGAGGAACAGAAGGAAAGAAATAACAGATCACTTGATCAGTTCTAATTTCAAGTAGGTTGGTTTTTTTTTCCTTCTCACCAGGAAGAAATGTCAGGCCTGTTGGTTTCCGAAATTCTCTTGCATACTTCTTTCTGGTGATTGTCCCGCTTTCATTTATTTACAATACTATCACAAAAGAAATCAGACTGTTAGGTGGTTGTGGTTTAAGTTTTTACTTTTTTTTTTTTTTAAAGTAAGTTTGAGTTTGTCAGAACGTACCTGATTCAAATTTAGCAGTACACCTACAGTACTGTCCCGGATTGAAGAACAAGCCAGGATATGAAACTGTTTGAATACGGACTGAAGCATGAAAAAAGTAAAATTCAATTTGTGAATTTTAATGAAGTGGTGAGGTTTGGGGTGAATTTTTCCAGTGTTTTGAGGTTAGTGGAGACTGTTGAAGAACTGACCCCGGTATGGCCTTTGAAGGGGAGGGGTTCTTTGTTAGAAGGTGGCAACAATTAGACCTGTACCAGTAGTGTAGCATGGTAAGCTTAATTATAAATTTAGCCGTCTAGTTTGCTCTTTTGTGGTTTTGCTTCAGTTCCTGTAGAGTTGGGGCCTTTTAAAGTTTAAGGAAAATGTCTGTGTGACTTCCAGTATATGCCCCCCCTTGATTTTTCTTTCTCATGCTCTTTCTTAATGGCAGGATGGGTCCTGATGTATCACATTTCTGTTTTTACTGCAGTATGCAGACCAGAAAGACTTTCTTTGGCGCCTGGCCCGAGCACATAGTGATATGTGCGAAATCACAGAAGACCCAGATGAGAGGAGATCGTACGCATCTGATGGTAAGGAATTGCGTGTTCAAGGCAAGGGAAGCGGGGTGGTCAAAGCTGACATTACGCTTCAGAGTTAAAAACCCTGCTCCCCCTGCCCCCCTTCTTCTTATCTTCTTATGAATTTCTTATCTCTGACCACTTACTTGCAGGGAAAGAAGTGATAGACATTGCCTTACAGAAATGGGATCAAAGTGCTGAGTGCCATCAGTGGTATGTAACTTTTTACTTCTTGCTTTTAAGAAGCATAGGAAAAGGATTTGGAGATTACTGTGAGCTGAGCGGCATTTAAAAAACTTAAAAAAAACTCCACTCACCACCAAACTTATTTGCTCTGGGAGTATATTAACACTGATACTATTTTCCTTAAAAAGCCTTTTTTAACAGCTTTGATTAATTGGTGCAAGTAATGGCTTGACAGACAGTAGGTTTGGTTATGATTTTAGTAATAAACTTTGCTCTGCTTGCACCAATTTAATTATGAATTTCTCTGTGAGACGAGATGGGCAGAAAAGTTTTTGAGCAAAAGCTCCTAAATAGAATAATAAACTTCTTTGCATACTAAGAACAGATTGTATCAAGGTTTTGTGAGTCTGCACCTAACGAGTCAATGAACTTTGGTGGTAGGGAAGGGTGAACTTCTGGATGATGCTTAGAGAAACAAGCTATTGACAAAATGAGTTTGAGATGAATTGAGAACTATGAGCTCCATTTGGTGTTCACCAGGCTAGATTTAAAGACTGCATATTCTTTGGGCTACTCGTAGCTCAAGTGCATATGTTTTGAAAAGGTGAAGGAAAGTTTGTTTTGAAGCTTTCCTAGGAATTGTGCAGTTTCCCTTTCCAAAAGTGGAAGACAGTACTTTACTTGCCCAGCAGCTGCCTTCCGGGCCCGTGTGTGTGCCTGGGCGGGATGCTGCAAGCGTCCTGGCACAGAAAGGAGCTGCGCTCTGTCGGCGGCGCTTTTGACTGCGCAGACCCTGGGAAAACACGTATCGGAGCGGCCTGGTCTGTGCTGGGTGTAGATGGGCTGCCAAAGAATATGTTTCACGCAGATAACTTGCAGAAAGCTAGTTCCTGAGTTTGAGAGCTCAGTATGGTGAGGCTCTTTATTTTCTTTCACGAGTCCTCTGTTTCCTTTGGCCCCCTTTCAGCCCCCTGTAGAGTAATGTGTGGAGCCTTGAAAGCCAAGCTCACAGCCAGCTGCACAGCTGCGGGGGCAAAGTCTTAAGAGTTACATATTAAATATAAATGAGGTTTTTCCTTTGTGTTCCTCCAACATTCTTGGGTTAATTGTTGGGTTTTACTCTGTTATTAACATTTCGATAACGCTGTGCTGCACAGAGATGCTTGCTTTATGTCAAGAGGTGATATATTTGCCTCAATCAGCTATGCCTGTGAGCGTGGGCTTAGTGCTGTGCCAATGTTCTTATATTGGTCTTAATTCTGGAGTAAGTAGAAACATCATTCTTACCAGGCAGCCTTTTAGTCTTCTGGAGAGTGTCTCCTGGCCTGACACTGCTGTATTCTGCTCATGGATGCTACTTGTCACTCTGCAAAGCACTCTGGCTTTGAAATTGAGACAGAAGCATATGGCTCTTTTTTTTTAACAAAGATTGTTTTTTTTCCCCTCACGATAAAAGATGAAATGATCTGCAGTTTAGCCAGGCAAGGTGTTCTATGTTTGTATAAATGCTGCAGCAGGTGACGATTTCAGTAAGGAGGTAGGCAAGAGGGGAGGTACCTTGCTGTCTTTAGCAGCCTGAACAAAAAGGCTTTGGTTGCAACTCATGTATGGGGTTGAAAGAATTGCTCATCTTCTTTAAAAAAACACCAAAAGAGAGTTTGTAGAGTGGTACAGATATTTGTAGAGGTAAGGGACTATGCTTTTCTGGTGTTCTGGTGAATTCCTTGAAGAACAGTGTTTATCAGCAGTTACTGTGAAGGACTGACAACACATAAAATAGAATAAAAGAGAATTTTTTTTTCAAATGGAAATTACTGGGAAAACAGGATGCTAAATATCTTTTACCAAACAAGATCTGTGTTCTTCTGAGATGAGTTAAGTTTATTTGGAGGATCAGTTTGGACTACTGGCATCTAAATAAATGTCTCTATCATTGTGAAAAGGCTGTGTATTTTAGCCCTTAGTAATGAATTGCTGTTCTCAATTAAAGGTTTGATATGCAGTAGGAGTACTGGGACAGACAGTGTGACTAATCTGTAGCAGAGTATGGTGTTTGGCTTTGTCTGCTGGTTTAACATCTTGAAGGAATGAGTTTTTAGTCACCAGGTTGAGTCTTGCAGTTTAAGATGCTTTAATACTTGATTATTTGATACTTTTACAAAGCAAGGCTCTACTTCAGGGTATAATATTAATAGCTTAGCTCTGTAATTCAGAATCTATAGTGTGCACAAGTAATGGCTGTAACACGATGTGTAGTCATGTGTCTACAGTAGAAAACCTCAAGCTTTTCCAGCTACGATGCTCTCAGTGCCAGTTACAGCCTCTGCCCACCGCCTCCCACAGCCATTTTGCTGAAAGAGTGCTCAATTCTTGTCCTATTAGACCTGTCTTTTTTCCAAATGGGGAAGGCTTCTGCACATCTACATCTTGCTTTTAATTCTAGAGAGCAGCTGCAGAAAGGACAGCTGCAGAAAGGAAATAGCAGAGCAGCATGTGGGAGGCATGAGATTTATTGGAAATGAATATGTAACTACCTTTATCAGCCACAGAAATAATTGCTCTCTGCCATGCATAGAACAGGAAATTATTCCCTTTCCGGCACTGTATGGGTCATAGGATGGTTGCAAGCTGTTTTAATTGCAGTCTCTCATTAGGGTAATTAATATTACGCTGAGAAGAAAAAATACTGCTAATGAAATGATGCTTAATACATTAAAAGATGCATAGATAGGAAAAATACAGGATAAAACGTAGTTCCAAAAGACATTATAGGCTGTCTTGCCTTTACTCGAGGAATGGGCACATTGCTCAGAATTACGTTTAGTTCACTATGCTGTCTGTAGTAGCAATGTTTAGGAAAATAAAAAAAAAAAAAGGAAACAATACAATGATGGTTTTCCTTCCGTGCCATCCTTACCTCCCGCAGGGCGAGGTGCAGAGGTGAGTTCATAGCCATGATGGAGCTGTCCTCCGTGAGTTTGTGTAATCTCTGGTACAGATCCCAGAATTTAACGTGCTCTGGGTAGCAAGAACCTGCCCGCTCTGTTTGAAATTGCCAGTGGAGGTTTTAAAGCTTTTTTTGGTTTGATTTGATGCCCTAGCTCTTGGTTTATGGAGAAGTGAACAGAGAATGATTATTCACACTTCCTTTGTAAAGGATGGTTTTATTCTGTCATATTTCTCTCTTTAGTATCTTGTTTCCCTTGCTGAAGAATCCTAATCTTTTATTATCTCTTTTCATAGGGAATCATTTCATTGTCTCTCATCACACATGTTGTCTTTCCTGTATTACTCTCTTCCTACCTGGAATCCTACCTGCAATGGGAATTCATTGCAGAACACAAGTTGTGGGAGCAGCGTGGATTTGTATAATACTGATGTGATAATCCTTTCCATTCTTACCTCCATATACAGTGGTCAATGTTGTCTTTCTCTTTTTTCCACAACATACTAAATGGACATTTTAATAGAAATATTCCCAGTGATTTTAATGTCCCTCTTCTGTGTGATACAGGCTGTGTGAAGTCTGTGATTGTGTAAGTGTCGTTAGGGCTGCATTTTTCCTGTGTGCATTATTTCACATTGACCGTCATTTTCTATTTTATCAATTGCCACTTAATGCTTGTGGGTTACTTAAGATGCAGTTGTACTGGTTTTTGGTGCTTATTCATTGTCCTCTGTGTTGTATCATTTGCTTCTGTTGCACAGCTCACTCCCCCTTTTATTGGCTTTAAGGTGTGATGCTTGTCAAGCAAGACAGAAGATACTTTGCATACAATCATTATTACAAGTAAAACTTTTTTTCCCCCCTCTCTCAGTGCCTCATAGTTACTGCAGTAATGACTAGTATTTTAAAGCAACAAACAAAGAAAATAACTTTGTGAACGAGAAGGGATTTCTGAATGCTGGCGAAGGCAGCGCTGTGTGGAGCCTGACTGGCTGCAGCTCCGGAGCATTTTGTGGCTGGATGGTTTTAAGGCTTTGGCAGCATGATAGTGGTTTCTCAAGAGTGACAGAGAAAGCAGTAAGCGTCTGGGACTATGTCTGGACTAGCTTTGGGATCTGCCCAAATATGAAGGAGAGTCCTTTCATGGATCTCTTGGGTCTTTTTGACATTAGATTTGGTACAAAGCTGTTATTGTTAGTCTCTTGCTCTTGGATGTCAGCTGCTCCCAGGAGAGCCATCTCCGCAGAGCTGGTCGAAACAGAACTGAGGTTTGATCAGGGCTACAGAGACAAATCAGCCTTTGTGCAGTGGGAGTGATCTCTGGCTGTGCTTTTCTTGTAGGCACCACTTAGGAACATAGAAACGCATGAGAGTTGTGTTGGGCATTTGATGTATTTAGTACCTTTAGAATAGATTTGTGTATTGTAGGCTGAGTGATAGTATACCAAGTGTTCTTAATACCTATATACGCCTGTCTAGAATTACCTGATTTCTTACTCTTGATACAGGCACCAAAATAATTCTCTGCTTTAATTGTAAGAGATCACTGAACAGACAGATCTTATGTCCAGCTAACTTGGTTACTCCCTTAGCTGATTTCAGCTCATGAATAGGAGGACAGAGCAAGTTCGTAAGTTTGTTCTTGCTTGCTTTTAGGGGTGGATGGAAGAGGCATCGATCGCTGCACAAACCTGTGTGGTTTTCTGCTTAGACATGAGTACGTGATATTGTCACAAATGAAGCGAGAGGAACAACCGTGGCCTTGCTAGAGTCCCCTGTCCGTTTCGGTATGGCTGTTCGCAGTGCAACTGCAAGCACGTAACAGCAGCTTTAGGGATTGGGAAAGGATAGTGAGCTGTGTGTTTGCCTTGGCTTCTGCTTCTGTTGTTAGAAGAAATATTGGAAGTGCAACCAGAGCAACGAGGGATTTCAGAGGTCCGCCTGGGAAAAATTTTGCAGGTGCTGCATTACCAGCTTTTGTTTGAATCGAGTATTTTGCATGGGAAATTAAATGCTATTGGCTGATAGCTGAAAGCTGTCACTGCAGAAGAAGTAATAAGCTTTGGCCCTCTTGGAGCTG